CCCATCATCTCAGCCAGATCCTGTAGTGTGGGAATTCTCCCACTCATTAGGTTCAAGGTGTTTGTCTCTGTTCTCATGCAAATATATTCTAGTGTTGGAGAGATAAACAAGGCAAGTAGATTTTAACTCAGTGTAAAGAAGAATTTTTTAAGAATGAGAATTGTGCAAAAATTCATAGGAAGAATTCACTTCAAGATGAAGTTGGTAACCAATGAAAGACAGTGGAAAAGATTTCTACTCAGAAGGAAAGGTGACACCATTTATTCATGAGGCTCTGGAGCTAGCTTCCTAGTTCAGATCCCTGCTTTGCTGCTTACTAGTCTATGAAGTTAAGCAAGAAAAGGAAATTCTCTGAATTTGTTTTCTCATCTGTAAAATGGGGATTATAATAGTAGATCCCTCATAGAACTTTTATGAGAATTAAGAGAGTAAATTTACCTAAAACACTTAGAACAGTGTCTTGCACATAATAGGGCAATATCAAAACTTTCTTGGCTTGTTGTTATTGTTGCTAGTAGAGGAAATAGCAGACAAATATTCATGAAGTTCCGACTGTGTGTCAGGCACTATGCTAAGTGCAGGGTTTATAAAGGTCCCTGCTCCCATAAAACTTACATTCTATTGTAGGGGATAAAAATAAGAGAAAAGTAAATAAATAATTTCAGGTAATGATAGGTGCTGTGAAAACAACAAAACAGGGTGGAGGTGGGAGTGTGGATAGTCAAAGAAAACCACTCTAAGACAGAATACACAATTACCAAGAAAGAGATAGCCATGTGATGAGTTGAGAGCAGAGCATTCATAGCAAAGAGACAAGCCAGTTCTTTTTCACATAGGAACAAGTTAGGCATGCTGGGTGAACAGAAAAAAAGACCTGTAGAAAAATAAAGGATCATGCATAGCTGTGTCAACCCTACCAAAATTGAGACACAACTACAAAGCCACAGCAATTAAGAAAAGTATGGTAGTGTGGTTTTGGTCACACACACACAATGAAACAGAATAAAGAGCTCAGAGACATGTCTAAATGGGTACTTAGTAAAGAACTAAGGTGACTTCACAAATTAATGGAGGAAGAACAGATGGCAGAGTCAGTGGTGTTTGGGAAACTGCCTGTAATTGAAGAAAAATAAAAGTACGTCTTTTCAAATAATGTAGAATCTGCAAAACATCACATAACATGGATGAACTTGGAGCACATTATGCTGAAAATAAGTCAATCACAGAAGGACAAATATAGTATTAGTTAAGTATTGTAAAAAGTTAAGGACAAGTCTATATATGGAAGGAAATTTTCTTTGTTGGTTACCAGGGTTGAGAGGGAACACTGCAAAAAAAAAAGCATTGACCCATGTCACTTTAGTTTTGTGTATTTCACTGTACATAAATTATATTTCAATAAAATGTATTTTTTTTAAAAAAAGTAGGTCTTTTCATCCCAACAAACATAAAAGATTAAATGCCTCAATGTAAAAGCTAAAACTATAAACTTAATTTTAAAATAAATATATATATGAGAATCTCATTGAAATCTAAAAATAGAAAGTACAAATTATATGCAAAAAAAAAAAAAAAAAAGATTGATTATCCCAAAATTAAGGGTTTCTGTTCAACAAATGGCATAATGGACAAAGTTATTAGACAAGTAATATGATGAAAGAAGGTATTGTACGAAATTTACAACCAACAAGAAATTACTATCTACTATAAGGAAATTAGGAGCTCTGGTAGCATAGTGGCTAAGACACTTGCCTGCTAACCAGACGGCTGGCGGTTCAAACCCACCAGCCACTCCTCGGAAGGAAGGTTGGGCAATCCTACTTCCGTAGTGATACTGCCTCGGAAACCCAAGGAGGGGTCACTATGAGTCGGGGCCAACTCGATGGCACATAACAACAATAACAACATAAGGAAATTGGGAGCTCTGGTAGCATATTGACTAAGGCACTTGACTGCTAACCAGAAGGCTGGCAGTTCAAACCCACCAGCCACTCCTCGGAAGGAAGATGGGGCAACCTACTTCCGTAGTGATATTGCTTCGGAAACCCAAGAAGGGGTCGCTATGAGTCAGGTCCAACTTAACGGCACATAACAACAACAACAATGTAAGGAAATTAAATTAAATTAAATCTTCTTTGGAGGAAGATAACACTAACTACATAGTGGGCTCAGGTGTATCAAGAATTGTGAGGTTGGCACAGGACCGGGCGGTGTTTTGTTCTGTTGTACATAGGATTGCTATGAGTTGGAGCCAACTTGACAGCACCTAACAACACAACAGCCTATACAGTTATTCATATACAATGTCTGAAAATCAATCAAACTTCCCACAAATACAAAGAAATAGAAGAAAATAGTCAAGAACTAAATGGAAAACAGACCTATGGGTGATCCAGCTATTGGAGTTATTAGATAAAGGCTTTAACATGACTATGAATAATATGTTCAAGAAAATAAAGAAAAAATGGAGAAATATGCAAAAGACTGATAACTATTTTTTAAAAAAATAGAAATTCTAAAACTTCAAATAATCGAAGTAATGATTTCTTAGGTGGCTGGGTAGCATATCAAACATGGCAGTAGAGAAGAAATGTGAACTAGAACGTCGTCAATAGAAAATTCTCCAAATTGAAGTGCCAAAAGAGAAAAAGATAGGAAAGACGATTTAAAAATCTAAAAAACATGGTGAAAATTACTGATACAGGTATAACTAGAGTCCCAGGAGAGACAGAAAGAACAAGCCAAAAGCAATGTTTGAAAAGATTAACGTTAAGAATTTCCAAAACTGATTAAAGTTATCAACTGACAGCTGCAGGAAGCTCTACACACCCTGAGAAGGATAAATAAATAAATAAATAAAAATACACCTAGACATATCATAGAAAACTACTGAAAGACAAAGAAAGAGAAACACCTTAGAAGACATCAGGGTAGGGTAGATCAGTCAGAAGGATAAAAAGGCACATTACCTTTAAAGGAGCAACAATAAAACTGTTAGTGAACTTGTCAACAGAAATGAAAGGCAAAGGCAATGTTTAAAGTGCTGGTAATAAATAAATAAATAAAGCACCAATCTAGAATTCTATATCCATCAGAATGATTAATATTCATTTGTACCCATCAAAAATGAAGGCAAAATAGACATTTTTAGGCAAACAAAAACTGAAAAAATTTATCGTAACACCCCTGCTAAAGAAATACTACAGAGTTCTTCAAGCAAAAAGAAAATAGAAATGGAACAATTATTCCAACTAAAATAAAAAATTGACTGACTGGATTAAATTCTAAATATATGATGCTTATAAGAGATAAATTTTAATCATATTCTGGACTATAAAGCAAGTCTCAACAAGTATCAGAAGACTGAACTATACAGAGTATATATGATTATGATGGAATTAAGCTAAAAATCAAAAACAAAAAGAAAACTGCCCAAATGTTTCGAAATTAGCCAATATATGTCTAAATAACTCATAGTTCAAAGAAGAAATCACAATGGAACTTAGAAAGCAGTTTAATTGAATGATATGAATACATGACACATTAACTTGTAGGATGCAGATAAAGTATTGCTCAGAGATAAATTTGTAGCCTTAAAATATATTACAAACAAAGAAGGCTGAAAATCAATTATTTAAGATTCATGTCAATATACTTGAAAATAATAGCAAATTAAACCCAAAGGAAGTAAAATGAAGGAAATAATAAAAATAAGAGTAAAAATAAATGAAATAGAAAACAAACATACAAAACCAAAAGTTGGTTCCTTGAAATATTATACAGTTGAAAAACCCCTTATATGACTGAACAAGAGAGAGAGAGAACACAAGTTAGCAGTACCAGGAATGAAACAGAAACATCATCGCGGATTTACAGACGTTAAAATGATTATAAGAAGATCTTATTATTATACAATTTATACATATAAATTTGAAAAGGTAGATAAAATGGTCAAATCCCTTGCAAAAGTACCACTTGCAAAAACTGACACAAGAAGAAATAGAACATTTTAATTAAAAAAGAAAAAAAAATTAATTTAATCCATAATCTGAAACCCTCCAACTCAAGGCTCAGAAGTCCTCTCCAGTAAATTTGTCCAAATATTTAATGAAGAAATAACACCAATCTTACACAAATTCTTTAAGAGAATAGAAAAAGAGGGACTACTTTTAGCATAACATAGATATCACAATCTGACAAGGTTGTTGCAAGGAAGGAAATTTGCTAATCAATCTCCTTCATGAACTTACATACCAAAACCTATATAAAATATAAATGAACAAGTCCAACAATATATAACAAGATAATATATCAGAGCCCGGTAGGTTTTACTCCAGCAATATAAGGTTGGTTTAATATTCAAAATCAAAGCTATTGTGAAAGGACAAAAAAGGAAATAAATTAGAGTTGGAAAACAAAGGGGGAGGGGAATAAAACAATACCCAAAAGGCTTGGGTGCTGCTTTATTCCTCTCCACTGCCCCCTTCACCACCACTCCTTTTTTATAATTTTTTTTTATGATTACCACCTCATCTAATGGGGGTCACTATGAGTCGGAATCAACTCCAAGGCAGTGAGCTTGGTTTTTCTTTTTTTGTTAAAAGAAGCCTTATGGGAGCTGATTCATCACCTTTTCTGATCCAAGAACCCATCACCCTCTGGCAGCTCACAGGCAACTAACCCTCTCATACTATGTCAGCTCAATCATATTGCTGCAGGTCTGTTTGGGGATCACCTGCTAAAGCCTTCTTCAGCTTTGGGAAAGAGTGGGGAGAGCCAAGGAAACTTCTCCTGCAGCTTCCTAGGTGTGTGAGCTCTGAGCTCAATTTCCTCCCTGGCAGGGTGGTCATACATAACCAACCCTAGCTGGCCTACTTCACAAACTTGCTATGAGAAGGTAAGGAGTCTGTGACAGCTTGTTGGAAACCATTAGGGACAGTACAGGTGTGAGAGGTGACAATTCTTCTTGAAAAGCCATCACCTTGGCACAGCATGCTCACCTGAGGGGCAGGGGCTGGTTGCCCTGCCGTTTGAATGCTCTTTCCAGCCTCTCCTGAGTTGTCCTGGAATTCCCACCAGGCAAGTAGAGCTTCAAGGGTGTCCTGTCCACCTCTGTGCTGCCTTCTCGTGCTGGGCTGCCCTCAAAAATGTCTCTCGCCTTGCCCCTCTCCCGCTGAGGCAGCCCTTTGCTTGGCAGGTGGGGAGGGCTGCTAGCAGTGGTTTTCTGCTTGTCTATGATCAGTTCGCTGAGCTGACCCAGGGGGCTCCTGGATATGGAGCTGGTGCTCGAGGTTTCCTGGGGGCCTGGACAGGCAGGAGAGTGGGTGGAAAGCTCGGGTACCTTCTGACTCTCTTCCTCTAGGGGCTGGGTCATGCCGCTCAAGGACGGGGACCGCCTCAGGGAACGTTTGCGGAGAGAATCCTGAAAGGGCAAAGACAAAAAGCTGTGAGGATCCCCTTGGAGGGGGAGATAGAAAACTACAAACATTTGCATATGATGTTCCCTACCTCAGGAATGCCTTTTCCATCCCCAACTCCGTGTTATAATCCTACCTAGTCTTTGGGGAGATACTCAAATGTAACCACCTCTGCAATGCTTTACCCCAAGAGCATTCCTTCTGCCTTTCTCTCACACCTCTTGCAGACAGCAGGCTCAGGTAGCAGATAAATCTGTAGGTCTAGGTCCAACTACCAGCTGTGTCTCCTGTGGCAAGTTATTTAACCTCTCTCTTCCCCTACTTCTCTTGCCTGTAATAAAACCAGTCCACAAGCCACTATCTGTAATTTCTAGATCCAAAAACCTCTGAACATGAACATCTCATTTGTAATTCTGTGGCAAATTCTTTTTGCTAACTGTTGTGAGGCTATTTGCAGCCTTTCTAAAATGTGAATATTCATATATCTAATTTGAGAAATGTGAATTCATTTGCTTATGGATGTTACTCCAAGCCCTATTTGCAGGCTTTACATTGTATATGGTTTACACACTGTCTTTCTTTTCTATAAATAAATAAATAGATGTTGTTTGTTGTTATGAGCCATCAAGTTGGACCCGACTCATAGCGACCCCTCCTTGGGTTTCCGAGGCAGTATCACTATGGAAGTAGATTGCCCAACCTTGGATATTCTAAATTCCAAACACATCTGGTTGAAAGGTTTGGGGTGAGGAATTATGAACCTGAAGTACCTGTTATGGATTGAATTGTGTCCTTCTAAAACGTTTGAAGCCCTAACCCTTGTACTTGTGAATGTAACCCTGTTTGGAAATAGTTTTACTTCTGTTTATGTTAATGAGGAGTATGGTGGGTCCTAAACCTAATCTTTTCTGTGTGATATCTTAAGGAGGCTTGGTAAGTGAAAACAGATAAGGAAGGGACATACGCAGAGGGAAGATGGATGCCGTGTGAAGAAGGAAGCAGATGCATTTATAAGCCCAGGAACACCAAGGATTGCCAGAAGCTCCTAGACGCTAGAGTAGACATGGAAAGACCTCCTCCTAGAGCCAGTGCTCTGCATTTGGATTTCTCAGCTCCAGAACTGTAAGAAAATGGGTTTCTGTTCTTTAAAGTCACCCACCTGTAGTATTTTTGTTACAAGCACTAGCAAACTAAGACAGTACCTATCTTCCACAGGATTGTGGGGGGACTCAATGAGAGACTACATGTAAGGCCAGAACCAGGCACATCCCAGAATTCAACCAAGGGTAGCTACTGCTCTGCTATGTGCCCCATCTCCATATGGCCTTAACCCCTCCTGCTGTAGACTGGGAATGGCAGTGGCCACTCCTCACTCATCTCCAGTGTCTGCAGAGCTCCCAGCTCTAGGTCTGGCAAGCACGTAAGATTTACTTAGTTTTTAAAATGAAGGAATTCCAAGGCAACAGCTAACATTTCTTCACTTACTGTCAACATATTAACTGGTGAAATGCGAAAATTGTGTTACCAATCAGTGGAGAGAAAACAAAAATAGACTTGGTGGGCTCTTCCAAGGTTTAAAATTCCAAACCTCTCAGCACTTCCAGAAATATTCCAGGGCCAAATGGTACAACCTAGGCTGGAATAAGAAAGGCTAATTCTGTAGTTTTCTGGCCTAGTGGAAATTACTAGGCACAAAAACCTCCTGGAAAAGCCACCCAGGGCATCCCTTGCCACAGAGGGAGGAAGACATTAGTCACTATGCCCAAGGAGACTCAAACTTCTGGCCAAGGGAAACCAGGGCTTCTGCAGAGAGCCCAGGCACTTAGCTTACCCTTCAGTAAGCACAGAACTGATCTACTTATTAAAAAATGAGGAAATAGCTAGTAAACTTCAGTTCTTTTCTCTTTGAGTAGCCAATAAATATGGCCAAGGTACTTAAAGGCTCAAAATACACCCTCTAGAAAATCTGGGAGAATTCTACACAGTCCATCCTTCAACATCATTCAGGTGTGTGGAAAACCACACCTCCCAATTCAATTACTAGAAGTTTGCAAGGACACTTTTGGCAGTAAAGAAAGTGTAATTCATCCCTCTCATGAAAAGTTCCTAATTATACACATCTGATGATTATAATCTCATAGTAGAATCAGACTCATCTGGTCCAGAGGTTCTCTCAAAATATGGTCCACTGTCCCCTAGGTGTCCCCAAACCCTTTTAGGGGGCTCAAATCTATTTTTATAATATGACATTGCTTGTCTTTTTCACTGTGTTGACATTTGCAAAGATGATGCAAAACCAGTAGTGGGGAACATTGCTGACCCTTAGCACAAATCAAGTCAGGAACGCTAACACTTGACTAGTATTTAATGTATTCTTCACGGCCACACATTAGCAGTGAAACATAAAATAAAATGCTAATTTCATTTAAGAACATTTTTGTCGGAGCAGTAAAATGTATTAATTTTTAAAACCTTAACCCAACCCTACAGCACACATCTTTTTAATATTCTGTGGGACAAAATAGGAAGATCATATAAAGCACTTTGCTGGGTACAGAAGTATAAATGTTGTCTCAAGGAAAAGCCCTTGTGCAATTAAGAGTTGTGAGCTGTGGTCTCTCATGGAACTTGACTTTTATTCCAAAGAAGGACTGACACATGACTATGGTTGTTCACAGTTGGGTATTTGGCAGATATTTTCTTGAAAATAAATTGAACCTCTTACTTCAAGACAAACAAATGATATATTGTTAGTAATAAAATTCCAGCTTTCAGGTTAAAATTGGGCTTTCGGAAAAGTTATATCTGCCACTGTTAGTTTGAGGACTTTTCAAATTCTTTACCTTCCTCATCTCTTTCCTCTGGACATGGTCCATTTCATGAATATTCTTCTTCAAGTATGAGACACTTAGAATGGGACATAACATTGAGGTGTGGCCTGAACCACCCATAGAGGAGCAGACTCTTGCCTTCCTTGATCTGGACACCAAGACTGCATGGCCATCTAAGAGCCATGAAATCCCAGAGCTACAGAGAACATTTTACAGATGGTCTGTCAAATGAGACAACTCAGAGAAATCAAAACCTGGACCAAAGATCTCACAAGATCAAGACAGAGACAGGAAGAGGGCCCATTTCATTCTGTCCTAATTCCAAATGAACTAGAAAAGTGCAGGCATCTACTCTCAGAGTCCAATCTAAACATAAAGTGAGAGTGTGGGTAACCAGCTGGAGATACAGATGACCTACTTTTTTGTTTGCTCCACTCCTCTTATTTAACTGATACTACTGTTTGAGTTTGATTTGTAATTTTGCTTTGTTTTTCTGTTCGTCAGTTGCTTTGCAAATTCCTTTTTCATTTGTTTCATTTTCCCTGCCAAATGGGTACATAGTAAAGTCCCTCCTTCAGGGAGATTATAAAACAATGATACCAGATTATTATAATGCTTTCCCTGAAAGAGAAGAAGAGCAAAAAAAAAAAAGAAAGAAAGAAAGAAAGAAACTGTAAGGATTATAGTTTATTTTCTCTTTTAACTTCCATGTTTTAAAAAATAAAAAATATTTTCTCCAGACTTGGATAGGTCTCCACCATTCCTGAATTACAAAGACAAGGCTGAGTAGATATGTTCTTATCTGGCAAAGGAATATAAAACTTTAGCATGTCAGAGATTGAAGGAACCTTAGAGAGCCTTCAGTCCATCCAACTGGGTTCACTAGATGAGTAAACTGAGGACAGGGAAGGAGATAAGATCTTCCCAAGGTCCCAAAGGTCTGGCAGAGCAAGAAAAAAAAGAAAAAAGCATTCGTCTCACCACCCCACACAGATCCCCCTTCTTAGACTATCTTGTGTGGCACTCCAAAACAAACTCAAGGTGGTATCTTCAGCCCCCTCACCAGTTCTCACTCTCAACTCTCATAACAACAGTACAAATAACAGCCCCACCTGTGAGGAACTGGCGATGGGTCCAGCCATCATGCCTCGGACAATCAGGCCAGACTTTGACCTGGTCTTCTCTCCCATCTTCTTCACGTCCACAGAAGACTCTGACAATTTGAGATTTTCCATCTTCTCCCATGCAGGAGTCAAGGAGGAGCTTTCACCTGGGACAGTCTGCATGGGCTTACTTTTGTGTGGGAGTCTTTTAGAGGATACAAAATTACCAAGTACATCTCCATCAAGATTGTCATGTCTGCAAAAAAAAGGGGGATATTTCCATTAAAATAATTTTTCCAAGGAGTCAATAGCCATGGTAATAAATTCAACATTAAACAGGCATTCATAGTAAGCCTACCAGAAGATATGGTGATTTCTAATCAGCCGGTGCTTTATCATTAGAAGAAATAGAAAACGTTTTCTTATCTGTGCAAGTTCAGTCAATAAAACATAACTGGTGATCAAGAACCAAATGAAATCAGGAATCTTTCCTCCCTGATTATGTTTAATAGAGTCCTCAAGTCCCCAAGTGATTAAGGAAAATTGTAACCCTTCAACATGGTCATAAAGTTTGTGAAGCCCAGCCTTACTTCACATCATATATGATAGATAGGTAAGGCAGGTAGGTAGGTAGGTGGGTAAGTAGGTGGTATGTAGGGTAGATAGATGCCTTCATGTTGACTCTAGCTCATAGCAACCTCACGTACAACAGAATAAAGTGTTGCCCAGTTCTATGTCATCCCCACAACTGCCCACATGTTCAAGTCCATCACTGCAGCTATTGTGCCAATCCATCTCACCAAGGGTCTTCCTCATCTTCACTGGCCCTCTAGCCCTCTACTTCACCAAACAAGATGTCCTATACTAGCAATTGATCTCCTGCAACAATTGATCCCTCCTGATGATGTATACAAAGCAAGTGAGCCAGACAATGTTCTATTGTGATCCGTAAAGTCTTCATTGGCTAATTTTCAGAAGTAGGTCACCAGACCTTTCTTCTTCATCTGTCTTAGTCTGGAAGCTCCACCGGAATCTGCCCACCATGGTAACCTTGCTGGTATTTGAAATAACAATGGCATAGCTTCCATTGTCACAGCAATATGCAAGCCACCACAGTGTGACAAACTGACAGACCAGTGGTGAAAATAAAATGGTATGAAGAACTGCAGCAAACTTGGTGGTCCCTGACTGCTCAGTTAAGGTTGAAGTCTAGCATGCCAACTGATATTTTTCTTGGATTACTTGGTTGAAAGAGAAAACAAAGTGTGTGTGTGTGTGTGTGTGTGTGTGTGTATGAGGGAGACAGACAGAGAGAGATGAAGAAAGAAAGGGAGGGAGGGAGAAAGGAAGGAGGAAAAAGAAAGAGAGAAACAGAAAAAAAGAAAGCATAGGATGGAGAAACAAAGCAAGAAACTCAGGTAAAGAGAAATCAGCTGTGATCACTCAGAACCCAGCCTTCCTCTGACACAGACCAGGATTTTTTCTATCACTAGACTCTAGAACAAATGGGCATTGACACCTACTTGGTGCCAAACTGTTGTCCTGCTAACTGGGCACGGGTGACACATGAGATAAACAATCATGTGTGCTGTTATTGGGGTCTGTCAGACAGAATATGCATCCAGAAACAGCCTGGGGAAATCTAGTGATGAGTCTAGAAAAAATGAGTAGGTAGGAGACAGCCAGGAGAAGGTCCTAGGCACTAACACAGAGGCCTGTGAAAGGATGACATGTGTGTTCATATGCATGTATCTGCTGAGTCCCTGCTTTCAAGTTTCTTGGGTATATATTAGGAGTGGAATTGCTGGATCATCATATGGCAATACTGTTTAACTTATTCAGGAACCATCCACTGTTTTCCACAACAGCTGCATCATTATACATTCCCACTAGCAGTGCAAGACGGCTCCAATTTCTCCACATCCTTGCCAAGCTGGTTATTCAAAATAGCCAAAAGGTGGAAACAACCCAAGTGTTCATCAAGTGATGAATAGAAAAACAAAATGTGATATGCCCATACAATGGAACATTATTCAACCATAAAAAGAATGAAATACCGATACACACTACACTATGAATAGATGGATCTTGGAAGCATTATGCTATGTGAGATGAGCCAGATACAGAAGGACACATGTTTTGTGTGATTCCACTTATGTGAAATATCCAGAAGAGGCAAATCTGCAGAAATGGAAAATAGATTGGAGGTCACCAGGGGATGAGGAAAAGAGGTAGAGGGGGAGCTATTGCTTAATGGATATTAACATTCTGTTTCAGCAGATGAAAAAGTTTGAAAATAGAGGTGACGCTTACAAAACATTGTAAATGTAATTAATGCCACTAAATTGTACTTTCAAAATAGTTAAAATGGCAAATTTTATGTTATATATGTTTAATCACAATTAAAAGAAAAAAAAGAATGTTGGGAGAAAAAAAAAAAAGCATAACACATACAGGTGAGCAGTAGTGGGCTGGATATCATAAGGGTAGCCCAAGGATCTAGATTTGATTTTGAAAGCATCTAAAGTCCTATCAGCGGGAAAGTGGCATGGCCAGATTTTTTTGTGGAAAGTTCACACTGTCTTAGAAGGAGGGTGGATTTGGGAAGATTACGAGAGACCTAAAGACCAGTGGAGTTCTTGGGTGGTACAAATAGTTAAGAGTTCAATTAGTCAGAAGTTGGCAGTTTGTACCCATCCAGAGACACCTCAGAAGATCGGTCACAGCTTTGGAAACCCTATGGACTGCAGTCCTATTCTGCACATGGGGTCACCATGCATCAGAATTGACTCCATGGCAACTAACAGCAACAACAGAGATCAATGAAGAGCCAGGGGGAGTTATCCAGGTGAAAGAGGATGAGGAGGTGAGCTGAGACCATTATAGCAGGGGCAAAGAAAAGAGAAAGATGAGGCTGAGGAGCTAACAGGACTTGTTATTGTTGGTTGCCATCAAGTCAGCTCCAACGCATGAAGACCATGTGTATAAGAGAACAAAACATTGCCCAGCTCTACACCAGCTGCATGATTTTTTGACTCCACTGTTGCAGCCATTCCATAATGCCTTCTAACCTAGGGGCTTATCTTCCAGCACTACATCAGACAATATTTTGTTATGATCCATAAGGTTTTCATTGGCTAATTTCCAGAAGTAGGTTACCAGAACTTTCTTCAAAATTCTATCTTAGTCTGGAAACTCTGCTGAAAATTGCTTACCATAGGTGACTCCACTAGCATTTGAAATCCCAGTGGCATAGCTTCCAACATGATAGCCACATGCTAGTCCTCACAGTACAACAAACTGACAGACAGATGATGATGAAGATACAGGAAATCATAGACAAGGAGCCATCAATGACAACATGCAAGTTTTTGGCTTGAGTAAGTTGAGAACTCAAGAGCCTCAACTGCCACATTGTTGATTTTTACTCATCAGGAACATTTAATATCCCAGACAGGCAGTTAGTGACTTCAAGGGAGGGACCATCACCTTTATGCCATTCTCATAACCATTCACAACTTGAGCCTTTGGTAAATTTTATTTATTTATTTAATGTATTGGCTCCCACCTTATAGTAGCTTGACATCCCTCCCCTAAGCTTCAACTATCCTCGGGAAAGGAATCCTTTCCAATGGAGCTGGAGGGAAATGACTATCCAAGAAGTTGAACTCACTATTGGTGACCACATGCAGTGAGGCACACTAAGGTTGTAATTTAACATAATTTAACTCATCTCCAGATAATAGAGGTTCAATCAAGAATGCCAACTCGTTTTCCTCCTAAGAGTTCCAAAAGATATTACATTTTAGATATCTCCATCTCTGTGGAAGTTTCATTGTCTTTTAGAATTCTATGTGCCTATTTTTAAGATGTAAACAAAGCAGACCCCTGAACCTAGTGAATCATGGAACTGAAAATGAACATTTTGAATTGTGAATATTCTCCTTCACAAAGCAGTCTATTCCCATGGCCTCTGGAGAAAACAACAATGCTCTAGAATAGAGTATGGTTAGTTGAATACTGGCCCCCAATGGGTCCACATCCGAATCCCTGGAACCTATGGATATGCTATCGTTACATGATAAAAGGGACTTTGTACATGTGATTAAGGATTTTGAGATAGGGAGATTATCCTGAATTATCCAGGTGGGCCCAATGTTATCACTAGGGTCCTTATAAGAAGGAGATAGAAAGACCAAAGATTCATAGAACCAATAGTCCTAATGACAGGTACACCATGAGATCCACAGCCTATATGACTATGAGACCAGAAGAACTAGATAATGCCCAGCTATCACTGTCAATCACTCAGAGGGGGATCTATGGAGGAGATCCTGGATAGAGTGGGAAAACAATGTGGAACAAAACTTAAAATCATTTGGGAAAAAAAAAAAGGGGACCAGTTCTGCTGGTCTGATAGAACCCAGTGGAACCACTGAGACTATGGCCCCTAGCTGCCCTTCAGGTCTGGAATTGAACCCATACCTGTGGCTTTCAGCCAAACAAAAGACAGGCATATGAGGTGAACATTTACCTGAAGTAGATACACTCCTTGGAGAGAACAATCATGGGAGAAAGAAGGGCTGTTTATGCACAGGGAGACAGTCAGGGGGCAAGAGTGCATGGAGGGATGGACAGAGGGAGGAGGTAACTATTGGGAGGAAGTGGGAGGGGAGCTGTTGCATTGGGGTAAATTGTAGTCAATGTCATGAGAACAAAGTGTATGTGAATTGCTGTATGGAAAGTGAAGTTTCTCTGTAAACTTTCACCCAAATCACAATTAAAAAAGAGAAGGAGGTAGAAGGATAAGTTGCAGGAGAACTAAGAACAGAAGCAAGAGGTGTATTGTGGAACGAACTGCGTCACCCTAAAATACGTATGGAAATCCTGGCCCGTATACCTGTAAACATGATCCTGTTTGGAAATAGAGTGTTATGCTCTATTTTAGTTGGGGCATACCTGAGTGGGGGGGGGGGGCGGTTCTAACCTAATCACTTCTCAGTTATAAAAAGAGCAAAATAGACATATGACACACACATGGGAAGAGGAAGACAGACAGCGGATATGAACATATCTGCATAGGCAGCTAGCAGCTACTAGAAGCTGAAATAGACACGGACTCACACCCCCGGCCCACAAAACCGCACCCTGAATTCAGACCTCTAGCCTCCTAAATTGTCAGAAAATAAATTTCTGTTCTTTAAAGCCACCAACTTGTGGTATCTGTGTTACAGCAGCACTAGGGAACTAAGATTAGGTGGAAAAGATACAAGGAAGGGCCATGAGTCACAGTTTCCAAAAGCGAAAAAAGGCAGGGAAATGGATCTCCCCTTGGATCTCTCGGTAGGAACAGCCCAACCAACACCCTGACTTTAGCCCAATGAGACTAATTTTGGACTTCCGACTTCCAGAACTGTGAGATAAGAAATTTGTGTTGCTTGAAGTCACTAAGCTTACACAGTGAAAACTGTCAGAGCTGAAACTTTACATGACTGCCTTATTTTTCCATGTCTCACAAGTTTTCCTCCTTTGACAGGGTGCAGTCTTATTACTTTTCTGTCTCTCCTTTCAGTGGAAAATATTTGTATTTTCCTTCTCTAATAGGTTTCTACCTTACACAGGTTCTGGCTTTTTCAAGTCTTACTGCAGTAATTTGTTATAGCAGCAACAGGAAATGAATACACAGAGAAAATGGGAGAAGATACCTGACTTTGCCTGTTTCTGACAATGATGTTCTCCATCCTGCATCTTCATCTGAAAGGTCGTATATATTTACAAGTGTGGTCTCTGAGCATCTCAACGGCAATTTGTTATTTTTCTTCGGAACCGAGAGTGCAGGGATTGGTGTTTCTTGAGTGAAATTGTTAGCGTTGCTTCCAAAGTGATCCAAAAAGTATCTGGTAATGAGTTCAAGGCTTGTTTTTAGAGGATTTTCTTTTGCCTATCATTGGGAGGAAAAAAACAAAATCATTAATTTTATATACTGCTTCAAGAGAAAGGAGGACAAGACAGCCATTCCAATTCTTTAACATAGTTTTTCAACTTCCCACTCATTCATATGTTCTTTCAGTAAGCATTCACTAAGTGCCTGTTACATGTCAGGCACTGTATCAGGGAGGGGTACAGGGATGAAGATAAAACTTCTGCCCTACTGCTTATGCACAGGGAGACAGCTCAGGGGGCAGGAGAGTATGGAGGGATGGACACTGGGAAGAGGTAACTATGGGGAGGAAATGGGAGGGGAGCTATTGCATTGTGGTAAACTGTGGTCAATGACATGAGACAAAGTATATGTGAACTGCTGTATGGAAAGTGAATTTGCTCTGTAAATCTTCACCCAAATCACAATAAAAAATAATAATAAAAAAAACTTCTGCCCTAAAAGAACTAGCAGCTAATACGCAAGTCAGGCAATTCTTTGAACAATTAAAATAAAATATGATATCAATAGAGGAATACTCAGACAAATGTTTTCTTAGCTTTTTCTTCTAGAAATAACTTCATAAAATATAAATCCTTTCACTGGGGGAGAACCCTTAGGGAATCACTAACTCTACAAGTTTATAAATAGTTAAGGCCTGAATATTTTCTTCATTTGTAGGCTCTGCATTTAAGATTAAACACTATATTACATAGACCACTGACATAGATGGTTATGAAGAACATAGAGAGATGGTCCGGGTTGACCTCATTTATACCCTAGCATTAAAGAAAAAAGGAAATACTTCAACAGTAGGTCCTGGAACTAAATGGTATCAGGATTTCCCAACTCTTACTGCACACTGCCTTTGGAATTTTTGTTAAAATACAGATTCTCAGGACCCACTGATACTTACTAAGCTAGACTCTCAAAAATGGGGGCCCTAGTTTCTTCTAAAATGGCCTTAAGTCTTTTGGGCAGATACAGCTATCCAAACACCAACCTACAGATTGCATGCAGCTATCCAGACCATATCATTGCATCAGCCCCAACCCTTCTTGCTTGGGGACAACCAGCACTCGCTAAGCTAGGGCCAGACATGGAGCATTGAGTGGATTTGTGATCAGGGTGGTCTAGTGCCCCACACAGAGCCTAGTATAGAGGGACCCATGAGGCACATGAATTCCTGTCTCTTCTCTATTCCTCTTATCTATGCAGCAGAACTCAGGGACTAAGGCCATCACCAAAGGGATCATGACCAAATTCAGCAGATTTTTCACAGTCAAATCAGGGAACAGTTTTATTTTCTTTTTTTAGTATGGGAGCACAAAATATATATATATATTTTATCTAAATATAAAAGAAGCTTACAGTGATGCATGGAAACAGTCCAACAAACTAATGGACCATGAGAACCTCAGCCTATATGACTCTGAGACCAGAAGAACTAGATGGTGCCCAGCTACCAATGCCAACCGCTAGGAAAGGGATCAAAATTGGAGACCCTGGATAGAAAGGGAGAAGAAATGTGGAACAAAATTAAAACACATAAAAAAGACCAGATTTACTGGTTGAATAGAGACTGGTGAAACTCCCAAGACAATGACCTCAAGTCACCCTTCAGTCCTGGAGTTGAACTCACTCCCATGACTTAACTCTCAGCCAAACAACAGACAGGCCTACACCAGGGAGAAGGGAGATGGGGAAAAAATAAGATAAAATTAAAAAGCAGAAGCTTACAATGAAGTGAGTTGAGAGTGAGGGAGTGTAGTGACTAGATAGTATATACTTGTATTGAACAGAATTAAATAATTTCTTTCTGCCTTCCTGCTTTTCATTTCTATAAGAGAGACTTGGGCTTTAGATTGCCTCAAGTATATATTATGTTTTTCACATCACTCTACTCATAATAGCCAAAGCCTTTAGATCTGTAATTGTTATGTGCCATCGAGTTGGTTCCAACTCACGGCAACCCCATGCACAACAGAACAAAACACTGCCTAGTCCTGTGCCATCCTCATAATCATTGCTATATTTGAGCCCATTGTTGTAGCCATTGTTTCAATCTACCTCATTGAAGGTCTTCCTCTTTTTCATCATCAAGTATGATGTCTTTCTCTGGGGACTAGCCCCTCGTGATAACACGTTCAAAGTACATGAGAGAAGATCTCAACATCCTCACTTCTAAGGAGGGCTGTGGCTGTACTTCTTCCAAAACAGATTTGCTCATTCTTCTGGCAGTCCATGGTATACTTAAATGTCACTCCAGGACCCAGAGGATGGTCAATATTCTTCACTAGCACCATAATTCAAATGGTTGTCCTGGTTTCACATGCATATAAGGTGATTTAAAATACCATGATTTGGGGCAGGCACACTTCAGACCTCAAAGTGACATCTTTGCTTATTGACGCTTTACAGAGGTCTTTTGCAACAGATTTGCCAGATACATCATTTGATTTCTTGTCTGCCACTTCCATGGGCCTTGACTGGGGATCCAAGCAAAACAAAGTCCTCAGAAAATTCATCATTTTCTCCCTTTATCATGATGTTGCTTATTGCACCAGTTGTGAGAATATTTACTTTCTTTATATGAATCTAGGTACCATTTTTTTTTTTTAAAGCTCAATTTTATATAGCCATTTTCATCTATAGTATACATAAGAGGGAAAGACAAGCTACTGGAAATATTGACACTGAATTGCAGGACTTTCCTAAAATCAAACCAGCTTTGTGCTGGTGAATATCAAAATTATTATGTAACAAATGGAATAATAAATATAACTTTCTGTAAAATACAGGCTTCAATTCATTGTGTAATAGCTACTCACTGCCATCATGTTGAACTCAACTCATAGTGACCCCTCCTTGGGTTTCTGAGGCAGTATCATGACAGAAGTAGATTGCCCAACCTTCCTTCTAAGGAGTGGCTGGTGAGTTTGAACTGCCAGCCTTCTGGTTAGCAGTTAAATGCATTAGGCACTATGTTACTAGGGCTTCTGTGTAATAATAGCTATTGTTGTTGTTGTTGTTAGGTGCCATCGAGTCATTTCCGACTCATAGCGACCCCATGCACAGTAGAACGAAACATTGCCCGATCCCGTGCCAGCCCCACAATCCCAGCTATACTTGATCCCATCATCGCAGCCACCGTATCAATCCATCTCCTTGAAGGCCTCCCCCTCTTTTGTTGACCCTCCACGCTACCAAGCATGACATCCTTCTCCAGGGAATGGTCCCTTCTTACAACATGACCAAAATAGGTGAGACGAAGTCTGGCCATTCTTGCTTCCAAG